GAAGCTGAGAACTGGCGACTTTCTAGTACAACTTTAGTACGCGGAGCAATCTGTAGCGCTGGAAGCTGAGAACTGGCGAGTTTCTATTACAACTCTAGTACGCGGAGCAATCTGTAGAGCTGGAAGCTGAGAACTGGCGACATTGTAGTACAACTTTAGTACGCGGAGTATCTGGCAAGCTGGACGATGAGAACTGGCGACTTTGTAGTACAACTTTAGTACGCGGAGTATCTGTGGAGCTGGAAGCTGAGAACTGGCGACTTCGTAGTACAACTTTAGTACGCGGAGCAATCTGTAGAGCTGGAAGCTGAGAACTGGCGACTTTCTAGTACAACTTAAGTACGCGGAGCAATCTGTAGAGCTGGAAGCTGAGAACGGGCGACTGTGTAGTACAACTTTAGTACGCGGGCGGAGCAATCTGTAGAGCTGGAAGCTGAGAACTGGCGACTTTCTAGTACAACTTTAGTACGCGGAGCAATCTGTAGAGCTGGAAGCTGAGAACTGGCGACTTTCAAGTACAACTTTACGCGGAGCATCTGGGGAGCTGGAAGATGAGAACTGACTGGCGACTTTCTAGTACAACTTTAGCACGCGGAACAACCTGTGGAGCTGGAAGCTGAGAACTGGCCACTTTGTAGTACAAGTGTAGTACGCGGAGGAGTCATCTCTCGCTGCTGAGTCAGCTCTCGCTGCTGTGAGTCATCTCTCGCGACTGAGTCATCTCTCGCTGCTCAATTATCTCTCGCTGCTGAGTCAGCTCTCGCTATAGAGCCATCTCTCGCTGCTGAGTCATCTCTCGCGGCGTGCAGGTTTGGCACAGTTCATACTGATAGTATTTGGTTGCATTTATGCAGGACAGGACACTCAACTGCTGGTCAATACACCACTCATCATACACCACTCAGCATACACCACTCATCATACACCACTCGTCATGCACCACTCATCATACACCACTCGTCATACACCCCTCTTGTCGTGGCAAAGATACAACCCAGTACGCTGTTGTGAGCTGCTGATCCTGCAGGGGGCACACACCTTACACACGTGGAATCCCGTGGGTCAAAAGTCCGGAGCGCGTGCGTTTGACTGGAGGACGCGCATGTTGGAGAGAACGTGGACACTCTTATAGGTCAATTTGTTCTTATAGGAAACTTCCGCCGCCGGCTTGCCCGGGAACTACTTGTATCGATAGAGTCTCAACCGGTACAGGTGTTGCAAGCTCCACGCATGAACCAACAAACTGCTGAGGTTTCTCACATGTGGGGGGGTCATCATGGCACAAACCTCTAGAACCACTTGGAACCACCCTCCATCTGCATCCCCTGAGCTTCCCTGGCCAGAGCTGTAGTACTTCATGACCTCTTTCTTCGGTGCAAACCCCAAGCTTTGGCGGAACTTCCGGAACATCCCAAGAAGAGGTCAGCCACGTACCCCTTGGTTTGGATGGGAACACACAACATCTTAATAACCTAGTACATTTCTATCTGTTCATGTCTTGCATGGAAACAACACCAAAAAGGGTTTATGTTTTAAGTGCCCACTGACTGCATAGATTGACTTGGACGGCTTCAGGCAGTGAATGGGAACATTGGACGCAGCTCCGAAGATAGAGTCAGTATGAGTCGAGTGGATCCTGCTTTGTGACTACGGCTGGGAACCGGTGAAAAATGAAATCAAAGAGCAAGAAGAAATTACACTCCCTGAAACAATATGAAACAATCATGGAAGTGGACAATGGCCCCTTGGAAGACTATGTCATCTACGAAGTGGGGCCACGTCCATGATTGTTGAATGGAGGGTACTGGCATTCACGGACATTCTAAAATCAAACCCAGACTTGGCCGCGAACGCACGTCCAGTCCCCGAAAGAAAATCGCACGTCACCATTCTCTCGAAACCTTCCTCCACACTCATCATTGACTCATCATGGAGAAGAATCACCGCACCTCGCTTTCAACGTCCCTCATGTCGTTGAACAAACCCCACAGGAATCAGAACCTAATTCTTTCTTTGTAAATTCTAGGCTTCCAACCACCATGAATTCAATAACCTTTACCATCCTTTACCCAAGAGCCATGGGTTGTTTCCTCAGGATGTGAAGTTCACCGGGTCAGCCTTTGGTCTTCACACCAAAAGGGTCAAGGCATGGGAGCTGAACGCACCGCTCTCTCCGATCCTCCGATCCGGCAGACCGGGCTTCCCCAACCCCACGGCCAGTGTAATGCCTTGGTCGTGGCTTGGTGGCTGGACATGGAAGCGCATACGTACAAGGACAAGGTTCTGGGCAAAGTTTAGATCAAACAGCATTGGTTGCTGGAACCCATTACAGTACAGATCCTTACAGTAGCCTCAAGACAGCCCAGCCCTACCACCCGCCCTACATGTTAAGACGGCTTTCTTTTCACGAACTGGTGGGTGCGTTCGCCACCTCGCTTGACAGTGGGGTTCCCACCTCCATGCGGGAGGTTTGACAGATTGGCAGGTGAACTGAAAGGTTGGCGAGAGTTATCCATCCTGCACGAAGCATGGAGAGTAGCTGTTGTTGAAGAAATTCTCGCAACCAATGGGTATTCCTACCTAGAGTCCTAGAGCTCATGTTCCGTTTTGATAGGAAAAGGCTGCATTTTGGGTGGTTGGTGGTCGAATATAGAGGTCACTCAGGCTCTAGGTAATTATATATTCCTTGTGCCTTGGACGGGGAATTCCAGTGATCAGCTTTTGCTGCACTAGCAGGACCCCAACCCCAAGAAAACACCCGTATTAGATCGTATTAGTATTGAAGGACCCCAGTACTTCCAAAGGCTCAGTTGAACGAGTACGTTGTTATGAGGTACATGGTTCACTAGGCCGTTAGCAAAGGTACATGGTTCACTTTTGGGGGGCTTTGGCTACTAACCTTTCCAAACTCTCCACAACCCCCCACCCAACCGCTGCAGCAAACAAACAGCGGCAGCTGCGCCGTGCCATCCAGATCCAGCACTTTGAGGCGCGCTGCCCTTTTTTTTTCCAATCTTTGGCGGGCTCGGTTGTTCAATCGCGCCACGTGCCTCTTCATCGCCAGAAGCCTTTCGCACTTTTGCACTCCACAGACGTGTGCACATGTATACACACAGCACTTAGAATGCAGCCTGAAATGCGAGGATCTGATCACTGATCGGGCAAGGTTCTTGTGGCTAGCGATCTGACAAACACCTTAGCAAAGTAGTACTTCGCATAAAATTTGAAAGCGCCTTCCAACGTGGGAGCACCTCACCTAGCGCTAGCTATCTAACAGCCAAGAAGCCCTTTGCCCATTTCATTTGGTCTTCTTCCAGGAAACAATGGAACATGCGCCAATTAAGGCCTAGTATTTCGCGCAAAAACAAATTGCTTGCAATTGCCACAGCAAAACTTTATCGTGCAGTGCGAGAGGCGGTAACGCGTGCAATCCTTCAGCTGATGGTGATACATCTCAGCTCATGATCGTGAAGTGGACGACGATTCCCTAGGACCCTGACATTGCAATCTTTTTGTGCAGCCACAAGACATGAAGTTTTGGGAGGCAATTCCAGAACAAAAGCCCATGCCTGGGTTTGTGAGGGCACACAATGAGCAAAAGATCACATGGTAATCACATGTTGCAGCTAGGACTTTTCCTTTCATGTCTCTTATGTTTCTGTGCTTGGTTGCCTTTGGGAAATCCGTGTGCAAATCTTGTGAGCTCTAAGGAATCGCATGCCAGTGCAATAGATTTCATCTGCGCGCGCTTGCGACCTAAGATCTAAGAGAGAACTTATCGCAAACTGATTGAAGCGCATCACTAAGCAGCAGTCTAAACACGAAGTGGCAAAAACATCGGTGAATCCTCGATCAGCCAAAAGTTGGTGGCCAGCGCATTCCTTGCATGGTCACGGAACACGTTTGGAAGTAAATGTTATTCATGCAGAACCCATAGATTTGATGAGTCTCATTGCAACAGCTGATGGTACGATGAGATCATGCTGTGGCCAGTCAGCATGGCTTTCGTGAATCCACCGAGCGAACAGGCGGCCATCTTCAACTTCTCCACGTGTTGCCAAGTCCAAGCATGAGGCCAGCCAACTGACCAAAACTCTCGAGTTGTAGGCTTTCGATGTGAGGTGTGCCCCAAGACTGGTAGACTTCCATACCTAATTCTTGACAGGGGATTCTCGATACAAAGCCCAAAGCCCCACTTTGATTCTAGTAGAATTCCGGCCAGGTCACCTGGTTAACTGTAAACAATGGCTGTGAAGATGAAATATGGTTCTGTTCGCAAAAAGCTTTGAAGTCTTTATAGGCGCCCACCAAGCGATCTGGAAGTGTCATAGCTGTAGCATCCCCGAAGAAAGATAGCTGCGTCAACAGAAGCCTTGGGTTGCCCAGTGACTACAGCCCCACTGAAATGAGTGTATTACAGTACAGGTGCTTCTTAATTATCAATGAGAAACAAACAGGATCCTGTAGCAACCTGGGCAATGCCCAAGTTGACATTGTGCATGCTGCAGTGACGGATCATTGTGAAGTGGAAGTGGGGCAATAATATCAATGGGCCTTAGAGTTGCAAGAAACAAATTAGAGGGCCTGGTGTGAGACTTGAGATGATCATGGCATGATGCATCCAAAGAACATGCTCGGCCAGGTCTATTGGTGGCAACGATGTTCGCCAGGAAGCCAAGTTGTGTATACTGAGAGGCTTCCCAGTCAGGATTGTCCCTGAAATCCAAATAGCTGGAGCCATCATCATCCATCTTCTTCGATGCTTTGCATCGCCAACAAAACTGAATGTTCTTCCATGAGCGGGTCATTTGCATGGAATATACATGCCACTCCCAGTCCCCTTTCAGCTCTGTGACTACGAATTTCAGTTGCTGTCCATTGAGGTTGATCCCCTCAAAATACAGCTTCCTCATGGATTCCACAATCTTGCGGTAAAAGGGAAACAGAGTGCGCCCACCAAGAATTTGATCAGTTTCCAGTGCAAATAAGAGCCACTTGGAAAGCCTGGCTGCTTTGGGGTTCCACAAGGGAATAGACATGAAAATACATGTGATTTTCTCCCCTGAAGCGCTGTACTTTGCAGAGTCCCCATACAAAGCCACAGGGATGTGTTCACCATTTGAAGCCGCTGCCCATGGTAAACCGACATCTTTGATGTGTTTCCAATAGGCTTCGGTGTTCGATACCTCAACTCCAATGTGAAACAGGTACTGAAGCAAGTCCTCTGGAAGTACCATTGGAATTTGTTTTGGAACAGGATCGCTTTCTCGAAGCTTTCCCTTGACCCATGTGTCCACAGCAACAGTGTCCTTCAGGGTTTGGGGTCAAGTGGTTCAAAAGGTGCTATGAAACACACTTCAAGACAAACCGGTCCACAGGAGGCTTGAACACCGAGCGGAAATCTCTTGCTGGATTGTGACCACTGAAATTCCCAAGCTTGGCAATGGTCGGAGGTAGTCCAACAGGTGTGTCCTTGCTTGACACGGAAGCCAGAGTTTCAAGGCAATTTGTCGATCATACAAATATCGTGACTAAATGCATGCAAGGTGCTTTGACACAAGCCTTGACAAGGTCCATTTGTTTCTTCACAGAAGCCTTGGTTTCGCTTCAAGTGTTGGAGGATGTTGGAGGTGATATATTTTGTTGTACTTAAACTTTTAAACTTCATGATCCATTGGTTGTCATGAATGAGAAAGCCCAGTGGCTCCGCCAGCGAGGTTGTCCAAGATCGTCCCAACTTGGTGATCACGTTGAGCACCTCCAAGTCTGGCCCCAAGCTATGTTTCAAGACTCCACACTCCAAGCTAGTAGATGAGCAGTACCTTTTGCTTCACTTGCGTCGGTAGCCCCTTCCAAGCACTGAGATGGCCGGACATCAGCCACTGGATCCTCCCTAAGGCCGATGTTGGCCAGCAGTGAAAATACCCCTACACTCCATATCGAGGAAACAACTTGCACACATCAACATGGGTGGGACATGGTGGGACACAATATATACAAAGCAACTTATAAATGTATTTAGATATAGCTAATCTAGTGTTTTTTTTCTGGAGTGATCAACAGGCTACTTTTTAGCCTTGTCTTTATCCGGCTTTTCAGCTTTGCGCTTCTTGCCAGTGATCGGTTCCATTGCCTGATCAAATTCAGTCAGGCCTTTCTCAGCATTGTCCAGCGAGGTTTGCAAGATCGAATCCTGCATTTTTATTTGGAGCAATTCATGGACTTACTCACAATTGCAAGCCTTATACCGATGAAGTTGGCATCCCGCCCCACAGAGTCCTTCGCACCATCGTCCAAGGCTTTCTGCACTACCGCTCTCAACTTTCCAAGACGGCTGGTCAGGCCCTCAAGTTCCTTCGTGATCGCAGCCTTCATGTCAGATTTAGATGACCTAATCAGGAATTAAGTAGTACTTGCACAGGAACCGGCTCTGCATAATCATGTTTGTGCCTTCGAAAATGGAAAAGACACAAAAAAGGAACTAGGGGACTAGCAAGTGTGCAGTCGAAGCTTTCTTTTCATTTGCACTTTGGATCTTCCTTGTCATGTCCGCGATAGCCTGGAAGGGCAGGTTATCATCTAGATCTAGACGTTCAGTGAGAGGTTGGCTGAGAAGCCACAACAAAGAAGCGACCCTGCCATTAAGGCAATGGCAATGGTCCGAATAACATGATGTGATCAGCTAGCCTTCTTGCATTTCTTGACAAGTTCACGTCGGGCTTCTTTTGCTTTCTCTGCGGCTTCTTCCTCTGGGGTCACCTTGTTGGCCTACCAAATGAGTTACAAGAGTCGCACTCCCCAAGAACTATGCCTAGGCAAAGTTGAAGATTCTACTATAACATAAAATAGATGCTTGCCTTAGGGTGCTTGTTCTTCTTGTTCTTCTTCTTCTTTTTCTTCTTGTCTTTGTCTTTCTTGTCCTTCTTGTCTTTCTTGTCTTTACTTCCCTTATCTTTACTTCCCTTATCTTTCTTGTCCTTGCTTGAGCCGGCACGACCTGTGTCATTGTCACTGCTGTCATCGTCACTGCCATCCTCAGAAGCAGCGTCAGAGTTGTCGGATCGGTCACACCTGCGAGTGTCTGTGGCCCTGAACATGTCCATGATGGTAGATGTTTCACATGCTTCTTCTTCGTCTTCCACTAGCACTAGGTATTGGTGAATATGAGGTGTCTCCGGATGGCAACGTACTTCTGTTGCAGCTAGCTCTGGGTCATTCTTCTTACGGT